ATTAAATCTCTTCAAAGTTGAAAACTCCATATTAAATATAATTAAAAATCGATATCCTAATTAAGTGAATAAAATGAAACTGTTTGACCAAGTAAAGTTAAGTTTGCAAATTAATTTGGGACGGAGGTAGCATTAAATAATTAATAAATTTCAAATAAACTAAAGTAGTCCACAAATTTAAATAATTAAACCATACATTAGTCCGGTTCCGGGCTTCATATGAAGTAGCAAAGGCGGTGAAAGTGTGAAGACACTAGTCAAAGTAATGGTATAAATGTAAATGTAAATAATTAAATCATAATTCGGTCCGGTTCGATCCGGTATCGGTTCTCATTTTATGAGAACCGTTCATGGCATTGTTTGAACCAGTATGGTCCGGTTCGGGACAAAAAAAATGAAATCCATTTCAAACCCTGTTTTACGGTCCGGTATCATACCGGTTCGGTTCGGTACCATGCCGATTCAATATTTTTGCTCACCCCTAGAAAAAGAAAAGAAAACTAGAAAAGATCTCTATTAGTAAACAGGTCTGAATACTTCACGATTGAGTATTTGTGCACATATAGTTAAAGATATAACTGAGATCGACGAACATTTCACTACGTGGAAATTAGCAAAATCAAGTCTCCTTCTCTACATTTTTAATCACACAAGTCATTCATCTAAGTGTTTAAATATTCTCAAGTCAAATTAACTTAAAACCCTCCTTTGTTACACTTTCACAAAGAATAACTATGATAGAGTATTAATTCTAGAGAGAAGTGACAGCTAGAGAGAGAAAGTGAGTAATTATATTTCTCAACTTGGAACCCCCTATAATTAGCCCCTTGGGCCCCTAGCCTTGGGCTTAGGAGGCCCATTACAATAATCATGCCTTCTTTGGGCGAATAAGGCCACTAATGGGCTGAGTACAACACTTAGTACAAAAAATAGGAAAATACATTCTGCCCAGACGAAGTCCGAACGAAGCGGTCCCTGGACGATGCGGTCCATGGACGATGCGGTCCATGGACGACGCGGCCCATGGACGCTGCGGTCCATGGACGATGCGGTCCATAGAAATCAGGCGATATCTTCTCTTTTGGACGTCACGTGCCTTTGGCCGATGCGGGTGTCCTGCTGGTGTCTTTTGGGCCGTTGAGTATGTGGGCCATGGGGTCCAGGCCCATATACTCTATCAGGAGTCCCCCACTCTCTGAGCTGAGGTGAAACCGAAGCGAAAGGGAGTACTTGTTCCTTTCTGGCTGGCCGTTGCGTGAGTCTGAGGCGTTTGATGGCCGAAGAGTTCCTGCTTCGATTTTGGATGAAGCGGTTCCCTTATTTGATGTAGATGAAGCGTGCTTGGGAACTCATAGCCTTGATGCGGGCCGATGCACACTCTGTGGAAGTGCCTTTGAAGACGAGGCGATGCGTTTTCTTTTTTGTAGATGTGATGAATTTTGGTGTGGACAAGTTGACATGCTTTTATTGTCATCTTGTTGGGGCTGAAGAGCTCCCATCTATCCTTTTGGTCGTAGCGAAGACCTATTTTCGTGAGATGAAGACGGTTGATTCTGTTTATGTAGACGATGCGATGCGCACCTTTGATTTGTTATGCAGCCGAAGCGTTTTGACTTGTGAGTTTTTGTTATGGCGAGACGATGCGGTCTTCTCAGTGTATGCCGCCGTTGCGTGTTAGATCTCGCATGGTGAGTTTCTTTTTATTTTGGGCTTTGCGGCCGACGCGACTCGCGATGCCTTTGAGGTAGCTGATGCGACTCTTAATGCTTATCTGAGGTGAAGTGTCCGTCTTTTGTTGCTGGTGAGCCGTAGCGTACCCTTTTATATTAAGGCCGCTGCGCTTCCTTTTCTTGTGGCCGATACAGTCCCCCACTCCTTTGGCCGAAGAGTATTTGAGGCACAAGGGAGTAATGAGCCGATTCGGTGCCTATGCGTTAGTCGCGATTCCGACCCTTAGGCGAACCTGTCCAAGGTAACCCTGTGGGAGAACCCTTGGACGAAGGCCGCGATACCAGGGTCATCGTCGACGATGCGCGCCTAGGAGGCCGTAGCGGTCTATTAAGGTTTTCTGGGTTGTTGTGAGGACGTAGAGTTAGGCCGATGCGTTCCTTTTTCGGCCGTATGGGCCGACGCTTGCTTTGAAGCTCTGTGGTACTTGGGCCGTAGTGGTACTCGGCCGATGCCTTGTTCTCTATAAGTTTGAGTTGGGCCGTAGCGGGTGGCTCTAGGGCGGAATGCGAAAGGTCAAGTCCTGATTGGTTCGGGGGAGAGGTGGCCGTTGTGGTGGCCAATCGGATTGTGCCACGTGTAGTGACCGTTGGTGGGTGTCTATAAATACCCCCTCATTCCGAAGCCACCCCCTTATTTGTGCTTTGCTGTTGTCGAATTGCTGCCCAAATCCTTCTAGAGAGAGAAACTCCTCGAGTTGCTTCAAGTGTTCTTCGAGCCTTCAAATCTTCAAAGGTTAGATACTTTTAATTTTCCTTTGATTTCTCCATATTTTGCTCCTTAGGGTGTTAGATCTAGTGTTCTTTAGGAAAGTCACTTTGATCCGAAAACTACCCTTAGGACGTAGCGATAGTTGTTATGCCGTTCCCTGACGGCCGTAGCGTCCCCTTCCCAATTGACTTAACAGTGTCGCTGAACGAATCTGATTGGCCTTTTGACGACGAGGACACATCTCCTGGGGTGGATCTAAGAGTGGTGGAGGCTTTTGAGATTGAGATGGAGAATACTGCGGACTACCGCACCTCTGTGGACGAGGAGCGTCTAAGTGCCGATGCGGGTTCTCAACCCTCTGGTGAGGACGAAGCGAGCTCCGAGCCCCGGCTTCGTGAAGATAATGCGGGTGATGCTTCATCGGCCGCCATCCCCTGTCCACCACCAATTTCGTCTGTTCCGGGTGGCGCGTCGTCATCTGGGGTGGTGAAGAGACGTACATCGCGTCGTCGGAAAGGTGTATCCGGCGGGCTTTCTCAATTGGATCTGACGAACCTTTATCTTATAAGGCCGGAGAGCACCCAGAGCGAATACCAGGTGGCGCAGTTGTACGTCGGCCCCTATGGAAAGGTGAGAGCGCCGAAGCCGACGGACCACGTCTTGGACCCACCCCCTGGATATTTCGGGGTGTATCCAATGAGTTTTTCCCAAGGCTTGAGGTTTCCGTTGCCTCCTTTTGTAGTCCAATATCTGAAGATGTTGGACCTTCCCCCGGCTCTACTAACGCCGAACAGCTACTCCATCATCGTCGGGTTCCTTATCCGGTGTGACGAGCTTAGGATTGAGCCCACGACGGCGTTGTTTATGAATTTGTACCGGATCGGCCGGGGAAGCCACGAGAACTGTGCTGGCTACGCGGCGCTTCAGCAGTTGCCGAAGAAGAGGTCCTTCATAGATCTTCCTTCGTCCATCCACGGGTGGAAGAGCAAGTTCTGCTTTGTGAAGTTGGCCGACGGGGTCTTCTTTCCCTCTCAAGGACATAATGGGCTTTTTAACTTGCACACTCCGCCGAAGAGCGCTGAGATCGATGCTCAAGTGGAGGCGTTCCTGAAGGGTGGGCCGCGGAGCGTCAACGCCTATATTACTGAGTTCAAGATTGCGGCCCTTGGGATGATGCGCTACTACATACCAGGCGATCCTGACTGTGGTTTGTGGCCGAAGATGTCTGGTTACTTTGAGCAGGCCGATGGGCCACCTATTGGGATCCCGGCCGAGGCCGAAGGTTGATAGCTTTTCTTTAATCCTTGTGTACTTAGCTTTTTTTTCTTTTGTTCTTAACTCTTTGTTTTGTATCGTATTTGCAGGTTTTGAAATGAGTCGCAAGCTTTTCATGGCTCAGGCCAAGAAAATGGTTGCCAAAGAGATGGAGGCCGTCCAACAGGCCGAAGCGTCCAAGGGTTCTGGTGACGGGGCCAAATCTCAAGCCGACGCGGCGAAGAAGCCAGTGGTGAAGAGGAGGAAGGCCGTTGAGGAGGGTCAGCGTATGATAGAGTATTAATTCTAGAGAGAAGTGAGAGCTAGAGAGATAAAGTGAGTAATTATATTTCTCAACTTGGAACCCCCTATAATTAGCCCCTTGGGGTCTATTTATAGGTAAAAATGTGGATTTGGGCCCCTAGCCTTGGGCTTAGGAGGCCCATTACAATAATCATGCCTTCTTTGGGCGAATAAGGCCACTAATGGGCTGAGTACAACACTTAGTACAAAAAATAGGAAAATACATTCTGCCCGGACGAAGTCCGGATGAAGCGGTCCCTGGACGATGCGGTCCATGGACGATGCGGTCCATGGACGACGCGGCCCATGGACGCTGCGGTCCATGGACGATGCGGTCCATAGAAATCAGGCGATATCTTCTCTTTTGGACGTCACGTGCCTTTGGCTGATGCGGGTGTCCTGCTGGTGTCTTTTGGGCCGTTGAGTATGTGGGCCATGAGGTCCAGGCCCATATACTCTATCAAACTACTTTTCACCGTAGATACGAACCTTAATACGCTATACTACAATAGCAGTGCAAGTATTGATTTTATTTCGAGACACTCAATTACTTTACAGTCAATCGACAAAGGACAATACCATTAATTGGAAGAGAATTATATTAAGGTACATTGGTGGATGTATATTCAATTAGACGAAATTAGTGCAAGATTAACGTTTCTTTATAAGGCTATTTTTGTGATCCTTCAATCCTGTTTAATATAAGGAACTTTTTGTCCTACTTTTGAATCATATGAATGTAAAAAAAATCAAATTTAGTCATACTTTGAGAAACTAAATCTATTTTAATCATATTCCAAGAATTTTCTCTTGATCATACTTTGTGAAACTCAATCAAGTGTATGCTTTTAAATTTCAAGCATTTTATATATTTTGGAAAGGAAAACTGCAATGCATAGGATTATAGGAATATGGTATCTGACATTAAACTTTTCGAATTCAACAATATACGGTAATCAACTCTTTAGGTACCCAACGTTATAAAATGGATGACTATTTATGAAGACTTTCTATATTCCAAATTAAAATTTTGTCGTTCCTATAAGAGGGCCGTGTATCTATCCTATCCTCGATCAAGTTATCAACCATCTGGATTAGCTTCTTCCCTTTGTAAAGATGCAGCCAAAGACTAAAGAGGCCATATCCGCTGTAAATGCAACGCTGTCATATTTGGAGAGTCATGCCCGCAGGAACGATGTTGACGAGCTCCGGATCGAGCTGAAATGGATGCTGTTCTTTCTGCTTGAAGGCCAAAGAACAGCCCATGGCCAATCAGTAGCTGAGTTCTGGTCCTCTGACATAGAACAACACGCAGTTGCTGCTCTAGATGAGTGTTCTTATACTTTTACGGCCGGAGTTAGGACCGCCACTGGAAGACTTGCCCAACTTAGGAAAAAACTGCAACCTTTTGTCACCTGCCTGTGTCCCTAATGTTATCCTACATATTTACCCGCAGTTCCATTGTCCATTCCTGTGTATTTTTTGTTTGATTTTGAAACCGGCCGGGTCTGCTGATTACTTGTGGAATGCTCTTTCTCTTTTGCTGTTCTCATTACGAAGTATCTTTTACATGATCTTTTACTTCCATTATTCGAAGTAGCTTCAGATGTGATGAAATTTAATGCGTTGGTTTCTTATTTTTTTACTTTTATATCACACGTCAAATACTCTAACGGCCTGTAATTTGGATTGAGTGTTAGAAAGTGTTAGCATGGAGGTGTTTGATGGGAATAACAGGATCGTGCTAATATGAGAGAAAAACACTTCTATTACTTTCAAGAATAGAAAGAAGAGACATACAAGCTCTAACTAAAAAACTCTCAAAAACAACACCTCACATATCTCTTAAGGATATTCACAACTCTTCTTGGTTGTGCTATGATGATCTATTCTAATTTTACTTGATGATAGAAAGACTCTCCAAGCTCTCTATTTATAGCACCAAAACTAGGTACTATGAAGGTGGGAGGAAGCTTCAATGGTGGTTGGAAGGAAGGTCACTCTTAGGTGTATGGAAGATCCCTTTGTCATTCTTGCACATGGAGGAAGCTTCATGGTTATTGCAATTGGATTCTTCAATTTGCTTGTACTTGGATATGACCTGGAAATTGAATTCTTCAATTCTCCCCTTCCAGGCATATTCAAAACAAGCATCCCGACTATGTCTCTGCACAGGTCTAGCTTATCCCGTGTTACCACCTCCGTCAGCATGTTTGATGGATTCTCCTTTGTATTGATCTTCACTAGTCTCAACAGTTGTTGATCAATCGTCTCCCGTATCCAATGATACCGAATGTCAATATGCTTTGTACGAGAATGGTACATAGAATTCTTGCTCAAGTCTAGAGCACTCTGACTGTCACAATGTACCTTGTACTCTTTCTGCTGGATCCCAAGTTCTTGGAGAAAACGCTTTAGCCACAACATTTCCTTACCTGCTTCAGCGGCAGCAATGTATTCTGCTTCTGTTGTAGATAAAGCGACACACTTCTGCAATCTTGATTGCCAAGAAACGGCTCCCCCTGCAAAAGTGTAGATATATCCTGTACTAGACTTTCTACTATCAATATCTTCGGCCATATCAACATCTGTGTAGCCTTCCAAGACTGGATCAACTCCTCCGTAACAAAGACATAACTTCGTGGTATGACGTGCACTTGTCGTGAGGTGCACTCAAAATAAATACAATACAACTAATATACGTAGTATATTGAAGTAAGGTTCGTATCCACAGGGAAAGGAATACTTCTCTTTTTATAGAACTAGTAACAAAATGGGGGGGTTTTAGTTTGATTTGGTTTAATAAATTAAACACGAAGATGAACGAGTTATGTGGTTTAATTAATGAGAAGAATACTTGGCTTTGCTTTTATCCACTTAATGAAATGTTCGTCGATCCCGGTTATATCTTTAACTATCTTCCTCTCGAATACTCAATCGAGGAGTATATCCAGTTCATCGAGGGTAGTTATTAATAACGAGAAGCGTTCATTAACAAAACTTACTATCGAGTCAATATAGAACAAGCGCCGTATATTAACTTGATAGTAGCAATAAACTTAAGATGAAAACGATTGAGATTGATAACCTCAACACAAGCGGTTTATTGGTTTAATCAATATAATTAATTCCCCTTAGATTATTAACCATGAGAAGCATGCATTAGCAATCCAAGTTTACTACCATTGAAAGAACCGAATTAATAACAAGCGTATTAACCGATTGATTCTAGTAATAATTAATATATAGAACAAAACTAGTTGATACTTTAAGTAATGCTCAATATATTAATATGGGATATGAATAGGAAGTAATTAATATTCAAGGAAGAGGGCTAAAGAAAATAACTCACAACTTACAAATCATTAAGCTTCAAAGTAGCAAAACCAAGATAGAAGAGTTTAGCTCCTCATTTGGAGACTAAACATGATAAAAATATAAAGAAAGAACTTGTCTAAACTGAGCTTAGAAGTATATAGGAATTGGTAATTTATTGTGGAGGAAATGGGGTGTATTTATAGGCTTTTTGGGCTTGCAGGGTCATGTACCCGATCGGGTATATTGGGTACTCGATCGGGCCTTCAGTTGTTTCGCGGAAGCTGAAAAAACATGGGCATACCCGATCGGGTATGTCGGCTACCCGATTGGGTATAGACACTCGATCGTGGTTAAAATCTTCCCTGCATGTTGCCTTGTTCGCGGATTTATCCGATTTGATTTTTCAGCAACTTACCCGATCGAGTATAGGGTATACTCGACCGGGTACAACACCAAAAATCAGGATCTTCATTTTGTCTTGGAATTTTTGCACCTTCCTTCCACTTGTGATGTTCACCAATGGTTCCTAGAGTGGTCTTGGACCTGTTTGAGCTCAGAACAAACCTAATCTAAACAATTTACAAACATTTAACAAACTAAACTATTACACCAAAAGTGTGTAATTTCTAGAGTAACAATCACTCAAAACTAATCAAAAATACAAATATAAACATGGAAATAACATGAATGTCATGGTACCTTTCAAGTACCTGAGAATCCATTTGACTGCCTCCCAATGCTCCTTCCCGGGGTTAGAGAGAAAACGACTTACTGTACCCACTGTTTGTGCGATGTCTGGCCTTGTGCATACCATGGCGTACATCAAACTCCCAACTGCTAAAGAATATGGAACTGCTGACATCTCCCCGATCTCTTCCTTGGATGTAGGGCATGTTCTTTTGCTCAACTTGAAGTGATTCGCAAGTGGAACACTTACTGGTTTAGCATCATTCATGTTGAATCTCTCAAGTACTCGTTCAATGTACTTCTCCTGAGATAGCCATAACTTGCGATTCTTCCTGTCTCGAGTGATCTGCATCCCAAGAATCTGTTGAGCCGGTCCTAAGTCTTTCATATCAAAAGAATTAGAGAGTTCTTTCTTCAGCTGGTTTATCTTCACTGCATCTTTCCCAACGATCAACATGTCGTCTACATATAGTAGAAGAACAATGAAAGTACCGTCTGGAAGTTTCTTGATGTATACACACTCATCCGCAGTAGTCTTCTTGTAGCCTTGACTCTTCATGCATGAGTCAAACCTGTTATTCCACTGCCTTGGTGCCTGCTTCAAGCCATACAAACTCTTAGATAATTTACACAAAAAATTATCATTTGAGTTCTCAAAACCTTCCGGCTGTGACGTGCACTTGTCGTGTGTGCACTCAAAATAATATTCAATACTAACACTTATACATAGTATAGCGTAGTAGAGTTCGTATCCACAGGGAAAGAAATAATTCTCTTTTTATAGAACTAGTAAATAAAAAGGGGGGTTTATGATTGAATGATTTAATTTAATTAAACAGAAAGATGAACAACTTAAATGTGATTTAATTCAAAGATAAAAAGGACTTGGTATTGCTACTTTCCACTTGTTGATATATTTTAGTCGATCATTGTTATATCTATAACTTATCCCCTCTTAAATACTCAATCGAGGAGTATATCCAATTCATCGAGAGTAGTTATTAACAACGACCGTTCATTAATAACCCTTACTATTAGTCAAGTATAGAACACCGCCATATACCGACTTAATAGGAGCATTTAATCTCTTAACTCCTTGATGAAATCAATTGAGATTGATAACCTCAACACAACGGTTTCGGTTTAACCAACAAAATTAATCCCTCTTAAGTTTATTAACCACGACCGTGCATTAATAAACCGAAGTTACTTACTTGTGAAACCATCAACGATTAACCATCGGTTCGTTGATCGTTTCTAGTAGTAATTAATGTCGAGATGTTAACTAATTGTCATCTTAGCAACACTCCCGAACATTAATATAGAGATAGATTAAGGGAAGAATTAATATTCAAGGAAGAAGATTAAATATGAATAATCCTACTATAACTAATGTCAAGATGTTATCTAATTGTCATCTTAGCAACACTCCCCAACATTAATATATAGAGGAAGAAAATAAATACTACTATAACTAATGTCGAGATGTTAACTAATTGTCATCTTAGCAACACTCCCCAACATTAATATATAGATAGATTAAAAGAATAATTAATATTCAAGGGAAGAAGTTAAGAAAATAACTCACAACTTTAATAATCAACAAGCTTTCAAGAGCAACACCAAGAAATGGAAGTTTAGCTCCTCATTTGGAGACTAAACATGCTATAAAAATATAAAAGAAATACTATTCTAAACTGAGCTTAAGAGTATGGAAGAAGGAGTGCTCTTATTGTGAACGAAAAGGGGTGTATTTATAGGTGTTTGGAGGTAGCAGGGTGGTGTACCCGACCAGGTATATAGGGTACTCGATCGGGTATTTTAGGCAGTTTCCCGGAAAATCACTTTTCTAGACATACCCTATCGGGTATGAAGGCATACCCGATCGGGTATGAGCCAAATCTTCAAAATCCTGCACGTTTTTTTGTCTCTCCAGATCTCTCCAGATTCTGATTTTGACACCCGAATCAACTCAATACCCGATCGGGTATTGCCTATACCCGACCGGGTATATGAAATATTTTTTCAATCTTCTTTTGATCTTGTCCCCTTGCACTTTCCTTGATCTTTTGGGGTCCAAACTTGATCCTTTGGATGATCTTGACCAGTTTTAAGCTCAGAATAATCCTAATCGAAACAAATTACATCTATCTAAGAAAATTAACTAATTACACCAAAAGTGTGTAATTTTCCAAACAACAACAAATAAAACTAGTTAAAATAGAAATAATACATGATAAAAATACAACTCTATCAGGCTGCTGCATATAGATTTCTTCTTTCAAATCTCCGTGAAGAAATGATGTCTTCACATCCATCTGTTCAAGCTCTAAGTTCATATTTGCTGCTAAGCCAAGTATAACTCGGATTGAGGTCATCTTGACAACTGGTGCAAAGATCTCATCAAAGTCAATTCCTTTCTTCTGCTGGAACCCTTTGACAACCAACCGAGCTTTGTGTTTCACCACTTGTCCGTTTGCATCCTTCTTCAGCTTGAACACCCATTTGTTCCTTAGTGCCTTCTTCCCTTTAGGAAGTTCTACGATCTCATAAGTTTGATTTTTCTGCAGAGATTCTAACTCATCCTGCATTGCTATTAGCCATTTTTCTTTATCCTTATGAGATACAGCTTCTTGAAAACTCTCCGGTTCTCCATCTTCAGTTAACAAAAGATATTCGGATGATGTGTACCTTGTCGATGATATATGCCCTCGTTCAGATCTACGAACAGTAGGAACCATCTGAGAAGAGCTACCATCATCTGTGTCTGGCGAGGTGGATTGTGTCTCCCCTTGCTCTGCACTCTCTTCTGTCTCCTCCTCTTCTACTTCTGAGTTATCTCCATGCACTTTGTCCTCTTCTGGTGCTTCATTTGAAACTTGAGCACCCTCATTTGACTTCCGAGACATTGTGGGTTTTTCAATGTCTTCTATTGTCAAATCTTTGTGGAACACAACGTCCCTACTTCTGAACACCTTTTTCTCCTTAGGATCCCATAGCCTGTATCCAAACTCTTCATTTCCATAGCCAACGAAAATGCATGGGATAGTTCTTGCATCGAGCTTCTGCCTGAGCTCTTTGGATACATGTGCATATGATGAACAACCAAATACTCTAAGATGTGAGTATGTAGGATCCTTACCTGTCCATAGCCTCTCTGGAGTTTCAAAGTTCAGTGGTACTGAAGGTGATCGGTTGATAAGATAGCATGCGGTGTTGACTGCTTCTCCCCAGAATGACTTCGGAAGTTTAGCCATATTTAGCATGCTCCGGACACGCTCCATGATAGTCCGGTTCATTCTTTTTGCAATGCCGTTGTGCTGAGGGGTGCGTGGTACTGACTTCTCATGTCGAATGCCATATTCTCTGCAATATGCATCGAACGCCTTGGATGTGTACTCGCCTCCATTATCAGATCGGATATATTTCAGCTTCTTTCCTGTTTCACGTTCCACCAAGACGTGAAATGTCTTGAAGCTCTCGAACACCTGATCCTTTGTAATCAAGAAATACACCCACACTTTCCGAGAAGCATCATCGA